GAGTTAGCGAGAACTAGGCCCAAAGCATCCCGAAGGAGAAGCAAGTCCTAGGGGAGTACTCTGTTCTTCTTCTAGAGGCTGTGTGTTTTGTGTTGACGTTTCCGGCGGTTCTGGAAAGAGTTGGAGATGGTGCATTGATGTTGTATAGGCTTGGCATGAGAGTTTGCTTTGGTGAATCAAGATATTACTAGGCTTGGCATGAGAGGCTTGTGGCGTGGGAGCTAAGAGCCCATAAGTTTAGCAAGAGAGAGAGTTGGAAAGGTAAAAGCTTGGAATTGTAGCTAGATTATATCTTCCGACAGCTCTGGAATTGCTCCCACCAGCTTGAATAGGTTTCTTGAAACAGAGAAAGTTAATTATGATGCTTGACTCTTAGGATGGTGATTTACAAAAATGCTTGGGTGATGTTTAGGGTTTAGCATGGTCTTTTAAGAGAAAATGAGCATAAAGATAGGATTAAGGCTTGAGATTTTGGGTGTTTTCGGCAGCCAAACAATGAACTTGTGATGTCTGCGTTTTCTTTCCAAGAAGGTGATGACTATGCTTTCAACTTAGCTAGAGAGGATGGGTGTTTCAGATCTGGCATGGAGCTTTTTGAGAGAGAGAGAAAGGGAGAGAGATGGGGATGAATGGATGAGTGGTTTGAGTAGATTTTGTAGCAGCTTGACGATTGCTTGGTCGTGCTCTGGATGGTTGAAGATGACTTGTTGATGTTGAACTGAGATTATGTGAGCTTGGCATGAGAGCTTGGAGTGTGGGAGCTAAAGACCCATAAGTTTAGCAAATGAGAATGCATGTGATTGGCTTGGTATTGGATATGCTTGAGTTTGGGTGTTGAGAATTTGTTGTTTGTGGCTATGGCTATAGGGATTTAAGAGTTTCAAGAGAAAGAGGATGAGAGGAAAAGCTTAAGGCTTGAAGGATATGGTGTTTATAGCTTGGTCTAGGAGGAAGGAAAGGCTTGGAGTTATGCTTGGTAAGGCTTTATAGAGAAGATGATAGATTTCAAGGATGAAAAAGTAGGAGACATGGTTGTGATGGCTGCTGGGAGCTTACAGCAGTCGAGAGAATTGGTCGATGGTCACTGGGATGCTTGCAGCAGCCAAAGGATGGAGGTTGATAGCTCAGGAATGATTGTGATGGCTGTTGGAATGCTTGCAGTAGCTAAGAGAAGGGTGAGTTCTCATGGTTGCTGAGAGGCTTGCAGCAACCAAGAGGAGTTGGTTTTGCCTGGGCAATGCCTCCCAATTTATAGAAGGTGAAGGCTCTTTTTGGTTTCCAATAGGTAAAAGGAAGTGTTAGAACCAACCTAATTCCAATGGATAAAAGGGAGCATTGTGACATTCTTATTTCCAATAGGCAAAGCTAGGCATTGGAAAATGACTAGGCAAAGCTAGGCATTGGAAAAAGACTATTTCCTGTGGGTAAAAGGAAGTGTCAGAATTGGTTTGTTTCCAGAGGGAGTGCTTGAAGGATATCTCATTTGCTCACCCACATTGGAGAACTCTAAGTAATGGGCTTGGACTTTGGTGCTTCCAAGTAGCTAGCCTAAAGTCTCCATTATCCAAGAGCTTCCATGGGCCTTGCGGACTTCCATAACCTTCCACACCACAACCCCTCGTGCAAGCCCTGTGAAGCACATGAACCTATTGACATAGGAAAAATTTATTATTGGTTTGGCATGGCATGTACACTATTTCTATATTTATTTAATGAATTAATTCTCAAAATAAATATCTTTGGACTTTAAATATCTTTGGATTAACGCATGACCAACATTATATGTTATATTGGGCTTTAAATATCTTTGGACTTCTCGTGACATTTTGGGCCTCAACACCCTGTTTTTCACGTATAATATTTAAACACATTTTTTTTTTGAAAACCCTAGAACTTTAAACCAACTTAACTTCCTCGTTTGAACTTCAAATTACGTGCCATTTGCGCCTATGTGCTCGTGGAGACGAGCTCAATGTCTTGATATAAAGAAAATTTTCGAAATTAGTGCCAAACCAAAATAGCATGAAATCCTTGAGCAAAACTGTTAATGTATGCTAGAATTTCGTAATTAATAAGAAGATTTGTGTACAATATGAAGTATTGCATAATATATGTTCGTGTTTTGCATAATAAGTTAATGTTGTAATAAGTATTGCGTAATGTGTAGTATCTTGATTGTGTATTAATAGTCATAAAAAAGTATATTAATAGTTGTAGAATGCATATTAATAGTGGTAGAATGTGTATTATCTAGAATGTGTACTAACAATCATAAAAAAGGATATTAACACATATATAAAGTGTATTAACTGTAATACAAAATGTATTAATAGTCGTAGAATGTGTATTAACAATCAGCTTGGGTTGCGTGATTGGGTTGTGTATTAACGGTCGTAGAAGGTATATTAACAACGATAATGACTCCTTGGGTTGCATGATTGCTTTGATTTTGCATTATTAATTTCTTTTGTTTTTGGTTGGGTTTTTTTTTAAAATGTGGGCTGGACTTGTTTTGAGTGTTTTGGATTTTTTTTTGGTGAAGTTTTGGGGTTGGACTTGTTTTAAGAAAACTGATGGTAATTTTGTAATTTATAGGAACTTCAGAGCCTCTTTGTTATGTTGTAAATGGGTTTTGAATGTTTTTTTAAAGTCCATTTCACGTAGGTTTTTTTTTTATTTTTTTTTTTTTATAAATATAATTTAGGCCCTTATAGTGGGTATAATAGTGAAGCTCCCATTTTCTTCTTTGACAAAGCCCTTAGATCTGCTTACATCTAACGGTCCAAACCGTCATTGCTGCACACGAACATCTTGTTAAGGTTTTTCTTACTCTATGATGTTTATTATGCTAGGAAATGGTACTAAATCTGGATCAACTAGTTGGATTATTGGATGGAAGGACCATGTTTTCATGGGGCTTCATTTCATTTTCAAGTTTCCTCTTATGGATATATGATATGACAAGAACTTGCTTTAGTTGAATCAATTGTACCTTGAATACTTGTGAACCTAAATTAAAAAATCTGGAATGCGCAAACAAAGTAGCCCATCTCAACAAGCAGAGCAAATGGGCCAACATAAAGATACAAAACAGAAATTTACTAAGTTAAGGTTCAAATACATAAACACAGTCCATAACCACACAAAAGTAGAGCCAAAGGGGTCTAGCCCAGTGGAATGAGCCTTAACTTGTGAACTAGAGGTCTCAGGTTCAAATTTCCATGACATCATAGTTATGTGTGTGTGAGAAGAACGTCTTTATAATAATATTTTTGCCCCACCAACGACCATCGCAGATCCGCCACCACCACCACCAAGGAGGATTAACCACAAACAAGAAAATTGAACGAAGAATGGGGCTGAACAAGCCATGCTCCCATAATCCAAGAATCTAGTGCATGTTGAACTTTAAAAGCATCCCCACACCACAACACGCAACTGAGGAAGACCAGTGAAAACAACATCTGTGGAGTCGAGGAGCATAGAATAGTGGTTAAGAACCGGCACCGAGATGCTGCCATCGACCAAAGTGGAGAGAGCTTTGGAGGAGACAACCTCATATCCGAGCCATAGCTTCGGGAGAACACGCCTATGTGTGGAGGAGCCGACCACAAACAACAAGAAAAAAAAAACCTCTCAAAAGGGAGAGAAAGAGCTCTCACACAGGAGAGAGAAAACTCTCATAATAAAAGAGAGCAAAAGGAAAGAGAGTAGAGGATAGGAAGAGACTGAATGAGAAGGGAGGAGAAAGGGTGACCTCCTCCCCTCTTCAAAGACTTGTGGCACTAGGAGTTGGTTTGGGGGAGGGAAAAGGGGTTAGGGTTGAGAGCGAGAGGAAAAAAATTATTTTGTTAAGATATGCTCTATGCCCCGGC